ACAACTGAACGTAGGCTTTACGACGTATGGAGTTGAATTCCCAAATGAAATCCGAAACGGATTGTAAGTAAATGAAATCAATTGTAAACTTGACACCTTTGTGTGAAGATTTTCTCTATTTGTCTATATCGCAATGACCCCCAAAGAACAAATTCTGACAACGCCCAATTCCATAACTACAACTAAACACTCTTTTTCCCCTCCGGGTATATTACTGTTAAAGATTATAGTTCATAATTCATGGGGGTTGATTTTGGCCTCGAATATTATGTAAATGATTATCAGAAGTACTTCAATTGTACTGAAATCTCATAAAGTTTATCCTCTGACTGAAAACTTGGAAACCTGAAAATATTACGTCTTATTGATTAGGTCTACAGTAGAAAATACGATACGTATAATTTTTCATTACCTACATCATAGCGGAGACTTAAAAAAAAGGGCGAGTCGTCAATTTAATTTTCAAACACGGATAAAAATACTAAAATTTTAACGGTTAGCTGTGAGCACTATTACTGATAAGCTTTACTGAATAATTCCCTTTTCCACGACCAAGGTACGATTGACCTCTTAAAATGTTGAACAATGACCTTTAAAATGCGATATTTAGGGAAAGCAATTTTGTTCTGTTCATGTTGACAGTAAAATCAATATAAACAGCAATATTGTCAAGTCACAGGTAGAGTATTGTGACAGGTGATAATTACAATTAACATTTAAGGTTAATTAATGTATTTAGCGAAATGCCATCAACTGTGTTATATAAACCATCACAATTTAACAAAAGTCGGTCAGGGTGGTGTGGGAGGGGGGATATGCTACCTTATACCCTTCAAAAATGCAAATTAATAGTAAATGGGTTTCCATTTAACATTACGAAATTCAAAGTAGAGCAGTATGACAGCCCCTTTCAGTTGCTCAATCCCGCAATTCGTCATTGTTTTCAAGAAACGAGTTCAAAATGACAAGCTTTGGTTGGTTAGAAATAGTATCAATAGACCAGGACTGTGGTAGAAAACTAGATAGATTACAACGGAGACGAAAGTATCAGAAAACAAAACAGAGGAAGTGTAACCTAATTTAGATTAGATTGAAGTACTAGTTACTGTTTACGGATTTCAATTATATGTTATAGAATGACTCCCTACCCCCTTTCCGTTATGTATTTCTCCAAGAGAGTATCTACAGCTTGAGACCAATCTACCAGATCAAATTGGCGGAAATCGAGTTCCCTGGTCTCCATTTACTAAGAATCTTTGATAGTTATAAATAATGAACCAGGAATAATCCAGAGTGCTAGATAGTCATAAAGGAACTCTCTTTAATGCGTCTTTTATTTCAATTCAAAATATCTATTATAGATACTGTCCCTTTGAGGTCACTTTTACATCGACTGTATTATATACGTTGAAGTCTGTGCTATGACTTTATAAGCCTATGCCGCCTCCAGTCTATTAAAGCCCCTTAAGGTTGAGCTTGTCCGCAGATTTGTAGTCTATCATTTAAAACATTCTGAGAGTGATAACTAAATATGTTCATCCTTCATACCATCAATGAGCCCTATCTTAGTAAGTAATAAACAATGGTGTTCTATGTACTGGGGTAAACAGTCGTTGCTAATCGTCTAAAGAATTGAAACATTAAAATTCCATTTATCTCATTATATAGCAGACAGTTGCACAGTTGACAATCGACATGCGGAAGAAATTAATTTTCAATCGAGTGATTTATTTAGCCCAAGGGAAAAATGCAATCTGATTAACTGATATTGACTCGGCCTGTATCTAAATATTGTCTTTTATTTATCGTTTGCCACGTCCGATACAGTCTGCTAAATATTATTCTTTTGATTTTGAATTACCTATTTATTTGAGAGTACTCCATATCAAAACTGAATTGAAATCCAATGTTCTGAATGATAATGGGAAATTCTGTACTGGAGTTGAGTAGGTAGAATACTGAATTAAAGTCACAGTGTACTATATTTAAGATGTAACCTATAAGTTATATGACAGTCGACTTGAGAAGAATATTTATAATACCGACAATTTGATGATTGTTGTACTAATTCTATAATTCTGTCATCTACTGCAGATCTAGATGTTTAGGTGCGTGTTTTATTTCTGTTGATACTTCATTTGCCATTCACGATTTAATCGTATTTCAATCATGCGCTGAATATTTTTCTCTGGTTCAGTTTTTGTGGAATTTTGACCTATCGAATGTTGTAATGATCTATACTATAGCCATGGGGATTAAAACACTGTTTTACAGAGAATACATGTCAATATTTTCCAATCTACGTTGATTGGTTCAATACTAAATGACATAGAACATCAGATGTAAAACAATTTCGTCAGATCATTGAAAGAAAATACGAAACGAAAATCCAGCTTTCGTCAGGGTGATTTTTTTCCAGATTGACGTTACCTATTATTATCTAATGGAAAATCAATAACGGAACCAAATAATTGTATCTTAATGCATTTAATGCGTCTCATATCATCTCTTGATCTCTATTCAATCTATCAATCCATATTTTATTCGGCGTTGATTTAGGTTATGATCTATATGAACAAGGGATGACCATTAAAGCTATTACTTCAAAAAAGAATATACATTTTAAATTTGTCTTTCCAGCCATTAACAAAAAACCTGACAAATCACTAAAAAATATACCATTCAGGCCATATTTTGACGTCATAACTTGGTTCATTTCTAATGATTGTTTTGAATTTTTTTTTATCTCAGGAATCACAGACATCGAAGAGAACGGGGACTCTTGAAATTCCATTTTGATACAGACTGAAATATACTGCTCTTTATATCTCTGTATGTTGGCCAAATAATCAATGAATATCACAGTTTTTTTTCTATATCTCGATGTGCAGTTTTTGTTCAATTAATGACGCTTTATTATGACATTAAAAACCTTATTGTAGGTCGATAAGCTCATCATTCCCTATAGATATTTAATAAAACAACTTGACTTGATTACGAAAACCTGTATCCAGGAAAAATTATCATAATCGTAAATATACCCACAAAAATAAGCTCTTTAATTCAAACAGATATCAATTTCAGTAGAAGGGAGACCTATACTATGGGATAATTATTTCACAGCGATTGAGAAATTCAGCCACCATCAATTATATGTTATTGAAAAGATTCATTTTTTTTTTGTTATTTCAGGTAATTGTAGTTCGTAGAGATCGTAGTGATGTATATCACAATCGGAATCAATTTGGTAACAAACGCACAGAACTCCTGTCTCTAATTTTAAACTGAAATCATGATGATCTTGGTATTATTCCTTGCATTCGTGACCTCAACAAGAGGAGTTGTAGAGCAAGGTAATAATTTTTTTTTTGCATTTATTAAATACCAGGTGACAACGTGAAATGTTAAACTCTTGCTAATTGCATGCATTTTCCTGATCAAATATGAATTCATAAAAATCAACCTTCAAAGAAAGAAAGAAAATGTCATCCGATGAAAGTGAATAAATCAAGTATCAAAGTATAAGTATTTTAATTTGCTTGTTTTAAATTCGACTAAATTATACATTCACGTGTAATTTTGTTTTTCTAATGCCTTCCGTATGTAGTAGTTACAAAACGTGTTGTAAGGAACCGCTTTAGTATTAACTTTTCTCTGCGAATCGGGATTTGCATAGGTCTCAAAGCTGAAGTCTGTCTTTTTTGAGTAATTGATAAAAAGGTTTACCACGTGTTTATTTTTACATTTGACTTAAGTGACGGGTTTTGGCAATTTATTTTTACGTTTGTGAAATAATACCTCTAGGGTTGTGCCAGTGTGAAATCAGTATGCCAGTGAGATGTTGTTTAACGACTACATCGATTATGTAATATCCAAGTTTCTACAAAGTGTTTACGGAAATTCAAATTACCATATTACTAAGACAACTTATATAAATCTCTTTTGAATATACTGTTTTACTTTGCAATACCGCTCAAATCATGGAATTATTTCAGTAAATGATAAGTATGCTTGAAATCTATAAAGTGTTATTTCCTCAGAATTATAGGGTGATATGTGAATATTGAATAGCAATAAAGATAAATGAAAATAAAGCCAAGTTTATAATTAAGCCTTTACAAGAATGATAATGCCGATATTTCTGATGACTGTTATCATTAATTTCTGTCATCTGATTAAAATGCAGATTTCTAGATGTCTCTATTTGTGTTTTATTTCTGTATAGATTATTGACTTATAATACCCATTATTAATTCTAGTTCAGATGTACGAAGGAGCAAGGTACAGGTAATGTGTGACTAGTAGGCTCCACAGATCTAAGCAGATTCGAGACAATTTTAGTCATTAGCGCCCCGGAAAAGTCTCTGGTTTATGCATATAATCCAAGAAGTTTAAACATCGAAATAGTAAATAATACTGGGAATTCTACTATGAGCTTCTTTTTTTTTCTAGAAAGACTTAAGGAAATAACTATGATTGATACTAAATCACGGCAATTGTTTTCTTGATCAATTCAACTTAGTCAGAATGACGGGCATTCCCATCATAAATGGTTGGAAGATAAAACCAAGATTATAATTATACAAATATGATTTAAGCCACGATCAATTAATATTTACTTAAATCAACGCCTTTTATTAATCCACACAATCTAACTCAGTCCAAAAAATGTAAAATGTTGAGTGTTCAGGAATATATTTTTTCATAAAAATACAAGCGGTCCACCGTTAAAGTTCGGCCTGCGGTCTTCAACATATCACGGCAACCATGTGATGTTGGTAGTTCAAACACCAGAGGCTCGTCCTCCAGGACTACAAGCTATTGTAAACAAAGTCAATATAAAGAAAGACGTTGTAAGAAATTGATCCAAAAAGATAACAAAATGTATCATTGGTAAACAAATATCATTAAATGAATAGCATACGTGTCAGAATTATATACCCTGAAGGTTTTAAATTTATGGTCTATATTCAGGTCGCAATATTATTTGACAAATAACTATGAAATACCGTAAGTAAAGAGCCTCGACCAAGATGAAACAACAAATCTACCAGACAGATTCAGCTTTTCCGAAATTCCGAAGATCGCCGAATGATACAAATAATTCAAAAAGTTCAAAAGTCGACACATTAAATTACACTGGGAATTCTACTATAACTATAATGGGTTGTAATAGCATGGTTATTGTTCTCTTATAGATAATTAACAAAGTCAGATTCCCATTTCAATCATAAATGACAGAGGAATCAATGCTTTCATATAAAACAAATCCTATCGGCTAGTAAATTATACACCATATGATATACTGTATTTGCCTACTTTGATATGATACGACTTTGACGCTAGCTCTAAGACATATTTTGTCACTTATGTATGAACCATAAGTTATGTTTCATTTACCAGGTTCAGAACAATCCCTTACATCACGAGTTCATGATTTTTAATACGATGATAATATCAATAAACGAAGCTCGGTCTTAAATGAATAAGAAACAAATGTACTGCATCAACCATGGGCGTATCCATTAGTCATAACAATAGTAGTAATAAAGAAAAAACATGGTGACTCGGTAAAGACATTAGAAAATTCTTTTCAATAATAATGAAATGATTATACCTTTCTATATGACTTTTAAAGAATCATTTAATGTGACTTCAACAAGATACGAAACCAAATTAGATTTAACACCAGGTTAATGGCAATTCATTTTAAGACTCTATTCAATTGCAGTGATGTCTATATTGCCATAAGTATTAGTCAACATACACCAACACATGACCGCGCTAAATAAATACCTCCAAAAAAACACGAATCATCCATTAAATTTTCAAAAAAAAAGCAATTATATTTTTGTATTGGTTAGTCCCAAGTCGATATTATTGTGATAGGTTGTTTAATTGTGTATCTCATTTTGATTTAAGAGCAACCATGTGCTTAAAGTCATTACATTGTTGTTTGAAAGTTAATATGAAATGAAACAGAGTTCTAGTCATAACCTCTTTACAATGTAAAGCTATTTCGAACATCGTCTTATACCTTGACTGCAATATTTTCAGCCTTCTTGTATCACGGAATGCAGCCATTTGATTGGATAATACGCCTGCGAAAAAAGCCAAGACTGTCGTGCCCTCGGATTGGCTAGCGCTAGCGTTGAATCCAAACAGATCACTGTACAAATTATGTGACACAAGAAATGGGGCTATTGATGTCAAGGTATATTACTCATATAGTTCGTATTGTTTGACATTGTGAAGACGATGGAGGTGTTCTAGAATTTGTACTCTAGGCCGAAGGAAATATCAGGATGACCTGTTCGATTTATCATTAAAATCTAACCTAAAAAGAATTTGTCGGAAGACTATCCTGTTTTATTGATATAAGATAAAGATACATGATACGTAATTAAGTCCTTTTGATATCAATATGGATAAAAATGGAAATAAAAGTTCCAACGATTTATCTTCAGTTCAGTGAGGGACATATAGATTTCTTTTATTAAACCTTTTAGTCGCCGTGTACCATTCACCATATAGACATATACTATCAAGTTCATAACAGCTTGACATTGTGAAGATGCCATGCAGGATAAAATACATAATCTTGAAACAAAGACTTTGTTTCTGTAAACAACGAAAGACGAGAATGAATACATGAATAATTTATTGCATACAGAGGCGGAGCCAGGTTTACATCCGAGAGGGGGGCGATTGGGGCGAAATATCTGAGATTGCCCGAATCTTTAACCTAGTTATGAGATTTTTGCCCGAAAAACATGCTTTCGGGGCTGTGAGGTTGGGGTGGGGGGTAGCTAACCCTCTCCCCTCCCCCCTTTTGGCTCCGCCACTGATTGCATGAAGGACAAATGAATAAATGACAGATAGATGAATGATTTAATCCTACAATATTGTTATAAGATAACGTCCCTCTCAAACTATGTGCTGAAAGAAAATCTCATTGTTGTAGATCTTTTATCTGAAGCCAAGAAAGCTCTGGAATATGTGAACCGAGTTGAGAATAGTAAATGCACTGGTGGTACTGAAGATGTTCTGAATCTGGTTTTTAATACCACTGTTTGGAAGGTCTGTATCCATGCCTTCATTCATTCCTTGACAAAAACATACACTTTATATGATTCTAACCCATTTACATTGGACAAATTGAAATCTTTTTTAAAAATGACCAATTTTGCTGTAAATCATGGTTCATAGGTCGGTAAAGTAATTTATTTCATATCATTTCAGGCATATACCGACGCGGCTATCCGCACCGCTAACATACTTAGTTCCTTCATCCAAATACACGGCGATTTAAACCAACAGGAAGAAGACTTTTTCTATACATTAGTAAGAAACAATGTACACGGGGATACTTTGATAATTGGATCGGCGATAGCTCTAGAGCCAGGGTTGTTCAACTCATACCCGCGCTATTGTCCGTATGCTTTAAAAGAGAATGGTACGGTGAAGGCGTTTGATATTGCTGTGAATTACAACTATTTGACTACAAGTACGGAATGGTATAATGTGGTTCGTAGTAAAGATTTTACTGCTGCTACTATTAAAACAGATCTGATCACTTACAAGTAAGTTTGCTTTAAATATACTCCGGGCTTTTCCCAACCCATCATCATCATAAAAAAAAACCATTGTGACCAAATTATTGGGTAAGCTCCAAATATTATGACTTTATAAGCCATCTGTTTGTTTATTATTATTATTACTATTACTTTTTTGTTGTTGATGATTTTAGTGAATCCTCGGCAACTTTAACGGAAGTAGAATTCGATCAACCAACAGCTAAATATAACGATGGTCATTGGACGTTTCCATATTTTGATTGTGGGGGTGGCAACATCTGGATGGTGACATATTCTTCACCAATATTTTATATCGATACCAACCGCTCCATTCTATTCCGGTGAGAACTTGCAGTATAGTCGTTAAATATATCCCTTACGAGCTAAAAGCCAACTATCAGCTATCCGTAGTCCTTTCCAGAATTGAAATTCGGCGCCCAGTACTCCCACTAATCGACGAAAATGTTATATCAATTATTTTACAAAGCAAGAATGCTAAAAACGATCTGGAAGTGACAACAGTCTTAAAAAGTTGTCCTTTTCAGAATTTTCATTATAAACATATTTTTGCAACAGGACAAGAGTTCTCCATTTAAGAACAATAACATTAAACAAATCTGTCTTTCAACAGGGGTGTGGCTACCATTGATATTGAATTAACAAATGTAGATATCAACCAATGTGATTTAGAGGAAGGTGCCACGAAGGGCGCCTTAGATGTTTTTAGAGGAACTCACAACTGCCAGGCTACGACTAAGGTAACCAACCATGAGCGCGATCTCAACAACTTAATGGTGCACATAAAAATGTTTTTTTTTATAACCTTTTCAATAACAAATTCGTTATCTGATTCCAATTCAGAAATGTATATGATAGAGCAAGCATTATTTTCAAACGATCGACAAAACCTTTTGAAGTCTCTCTTTAATTTTATTTTCTTGTCATGCGCATTGCTTACATTTCAGTGCGTACCATTGCTTGGTCAAGGTTTCAGAAGAGGGGCGTATTTATGTGAATGTCAGCGCGGTTTTTATTACCCTGTAGACTCGCCTGTCAGGGCATATTCTGGTTATGAGATTGAAACCTATGTAGACAAGTATTTCCAGCAAGTTGAAATACCATTCCGTTGTGTGAGATGTGCCAGAGGTTGTGATAGTTGTGTTGATGCTACACCATGTTTATATCCCCTCGACATTGGTATACGATTATTCGTCGTTTTGTTTACTATTATAATGATTATTGGTTGTGGAGTTGTTTCCCTTCTTATCTTCAAATATAAACACGAAATGGTAAGAGAAAATTTTGAATTCTCCCGCCAAAACTCCTTTACCGTAAACTTGAAGGCAAAATATATTAGATATTTTTTGGCTTCTATTAAAGTAGCCCACACAGGCTTCATGTATATTCTCGACCGTCCTATATATTTGAACCTACTTCCTGCGGTAGCCTACAGGATAGGTTTATATTGTCTTGTGTATTTTTCAGGTAATGAAAACGGCTTCTCCTATATTTCTTCATCTGATGTGTTTTGGTGCCATTCTCATGTGTTGTCAGGTAAATTTGAATACTCTGAACGTCTGATATTCGTTATTAATAAGAATGTTAGAGTGAGATTATGCTACGTGACTGTTGTCCATTCTGACCGTAGAAAACTGCCATGGACACGATATTTCCTATGGTTGCGGACATTATAAAGGACAGATAGGCCTATCCGATACCTTCTCTTATATTCCAAGCCCTGCTCCCTTGTGATATATGTTAAAAAGTTTATGTTATACATTTCCAGATATTCATTGCTTATTTGGAGCCAACAGATATATTGTGTATGATAGAGATATGGCCACTTCATCTGGGGTTTTCTGTCATGTTTGGTGCATTAATCATAAAAACATGGAGGTAAGAGAATCTATTATTGCTCAAAAAACGAACTTAGACCCGTTTTTTTTGGTTCTTTTTGGACTTCAAATCGTTTCATCAACGCGTCCGAAATTATAAGGCTACATATTTCTGTCTTTTTCACTTAATAGACAAACCTTGAATATAGACTCAACTGAGGTAATATAATGAATTCATGATGTCACGATCAGTCAACACACTCCAACCTACGTTTTTTTTTGTAAATATGAGCATACGAACGAAATTTTTAATTAGTTTATTATATTTTCTTCAGAATATCTGTAATATTTGGTGTTGGGTCAGTAAAGCGAGTAAATCTCCCTGATTCAGCCTTATTAAAGCGGTTACTTCCCCTGATATTTGTATTTATATTACTGATAACGATATGGACTGGAACCAATCCACCTCGTGTTGAAATACTTACACTTACCAACTCACTCAAATTCTACTCTTGTAGTGTCACTTGGTGTAATTACACCATGTATGGTAGTAAGTATTATTTTTCTTTAATTTGATTGACGAGTTCGAACTTAATTATGAAGTGCGAAGCGGAGGAAATGTAGCCATAATATAATATTTTATAACCGACGATTACAACTGGTGCAATCGTATTTTTTTTGCCTGAAAACATGGTTTTTGGGGGTGAAATATGTAGGAAAGTGCAGGGTCGAAATTTGATAGTTTTTTTTTTGTTTTTATATTTTATATTATTAGAATGATAGATTTCTGATCTCCAATCCATTTCGCAAATTGTTCATATTATTTGAACATTCTGGAAAAAACCCCCCAAATATTATGAAACCCATTATCTGTATTTTTCAGTCGAGGCGTTATTGCTACTATTTGGTGTATATTTGTGTTTTACTGTAAGGAAAGCACCCGCTCATTTTAATGAAAGTAAACATATCACATGGGCTGTATATAATGCTATCATATTGGGTAGTTTTATCATTATTTTAACGTAAGTATACGAATAATTTGAACCATTTCATTCGACATCATCATCATCATCATCATCATCATCGTCGTCATCATTCTATGTCTAAGTAGTCATTCTATGTCTAAGTAGTTAAAAATCATCATCATCATCATCATCGTTTTTGTAGTTAAAAAAAATCAGTAATATATCATCGTCAGTTACCAAAAACCACCAATTCATCATTATCGTCATCATCGTCGCGTATGGAGTTAAAAAAAAATCATTATTATCATTATCGTCCATGTAGACAAAAATCATCATCATCATCAACGTCTATGCAGTTTAAAAATGATCATCTTCGTCTATGTAGTTAAAAATCATCATCATCATCATCATCATCATCATCATCATCATCATCATCATCATCATCATCATCATCCATGTAGTTAATAATCATTATCAGTTATTCATATACTATAATTATATTCATCTATTATAAATATGCTTGTATATTTTCAGTCAGTTCATGTCGGAGTCTGGAGGACCAGATATTTTATATTTATTACTACTTGCTCAACTTCAAGTTTTTATAACCATTACCATTGCTTTAATATTCATTCCCAAGGTACGTATGGAAAAATGATACGCAATATACAGGTATAGTGGAATAGATGTTTTGAATTACTACGATTGCATTCATTCCAAAACATAGATTAACCTGTAAACGTTTTGAAGCACCGTGACCTCTAAATATGTTCATTTTATTTCAATTTAAATAGTTTTGGGCCATACGAAATGGTACACGACCGGAAGTAAATAATGGTGCGGTAACGACCATAACTGGAAGAGTAAAGTCGCAAATGCCAACGACAGTTTCCAATATGAGGGCAGATGTGAGAAGTATTGCAGTTCAAACGGACGACATAACGTTAGAAATGGTAAGAAAAGCCAACTTGTCTTTTCAACATTCTGAAAGGACACATTTCAATAGTTGTTGTAATTTTCGGGCGGGCTGTAACGCAGCCTTTTAGAGCGTGGTTATGGTTTCGCATGACACTATCCTTAAGCTGGACCGGAATTCAATTGTCTGCAATACAGTACAGCAGCAGTCAAGTTTCAAATATACTATCAGAGGCTGAAGCAGAAGCAGATGTTTCGGTCTAGAATGATCATAGGCCAACAATTCGTGTAAACAATGAGCGAGTTTTTAGATATAATATTTTTCTTCACCCTTATCAACTTTCTAAATTTCATAATATATTTCAGCCTTTAACGCCTTCAAATTCATTTAAAACATCGAAGTATTCATCGAAAGTGTCACCATTATTGGAAGTCCCAGCAAATAATTATACAAATCCAGAACACGTCAACGAGCTCGAAACTACGAATGACAAAACTCCAGATAAAATTGTGTAACAATTCTTTCGCACATTTTTCATACGGGTTAGAAGTCGGTTGTGAATGTCATTAGAGATCTCCTTTCTTGCCTTTTTTTTTACTTAGTGAATAACCACTCTCACGTTTTCAAAAGACAATTTGTACTTTAAGATTTAGATTTTTTAGAAATGAGAGAGATTCAGACATACTGATTTTCTTAATATTTAACTTCAACTTCTCCATCTACAATGTCTCAAATTTGCTAGTGATAGATAGTAATGAAAATCGACGGAATGGACCAGAGTCCAATATCGTGATGAAAATTACAGACAAAATCGGATCACAACTAATCAAATAGTGCGATGATAAATAGAAACTGATTGGATCACAGCTTGTAAAATATCGCGATGAAGAAGAGAAACTGATTGGATCACAGCCTGTCAAAGATGGTGATAAAAAAAATAGAAACTGATTAGATCACACCTAGTAAAATATCGCGATGGAAAACAGAAACTGATTGGATCACAGCTAGTAAAATATCGCAATGGAAAAGAGAAACTGATTGGATCACACCTAGTCAAATATCGCGTTGAAAAAGAGAAATTGATTGGATCACAACTAGTATTTCATCACGATGTAGATAGTAGATCACAGCTTGTTAAATATCGTGATGAAAAAAAGAAACCGATAGGATCACAGCTAGGCCAATATTCAAAGATAGCGATGTAAAAAAGACACCGAGAATGGCTCACAGATTATCAAAGATTGAGAGACTGCAGATCCATAATCCTTAAAAGTGAAAGCTTGTAGCCTAATAGGTCGTGAATAAAAAAAAACAATCCAAATATTCTAGGGTAGTTTATTGTCTAATTTTATTGCCAGTCTAATTAGACTTGGGCTAAAATATTAGGCCTTGTCACAAGGAAGACACGAGTCTCAAACCTTTCAGGGTCGATATTAAGAAGAGAAATCTTTATCGTCCCCACAAAAAAATCTTACGAGTGGTTTTAAACCTAAGATGGTCGTACTCATAGACCATATAAGTTATATAGTTATATAATAATTATATGACATGACGTATTCTACAAGACAGGAACGGACAGGGGCGGAGTGTAGGCCTAAACAGACGACGTGTTTTTTTTTAATACATAAAACCGATTTTAATTTCATTAGGTAGATTACATTATGTCTATTTATGACCGATTAACTCTTCTAAACTATGGCCTATACTTTTCTGGTTGTCTAAAACAAAGGACATTATTTTTAGGCAAGTTTGTTAACAACGTCCATTTGACGTTATGTTTAAGTAGACCTCTTTCCTCTTATAAAATGGCTGCCTTCCTCCTGTATCGGCATAACGTCACGTGACAAGTTTAGTTCATATCAAAATATCAAATTATTTCAAACACAATAAGTTCTTCTTATTCATTAATTTGTTTGAATCTGCACATAAAAGAAAATTAAATCTCTTGCCCTTGCCACTTTGTGGTTCTGTCGTCTGCTAAAGCGGAACACGTTTCTGCGCATGTCTTTGTTTAACTTTTTTCTACGATTTTTGACTGCCCGAAAACATAATATTTGGGGGGGACAAACGAATGAAAGTTTTGTTTTGTCAATTATGTGACGTATATATGTATATCACCTTATCAGGTTTTATCTCTTCAACTTTCATTTTCAAGCTGATTTTTGTCTACTTGTTTTTCAATTCTATTTTTGGAAAATCAACTTTCCGACTTCCTAGAAACTAATAAGAAATCATGTTATCAAACATGTGAGTACTTTTAAGATTCCACGTGCATAACATTACAGAGATAAACAGGTTACGAGAAGGACTGGTAAGTTGTCAATATATTTAGAGCCCCCTTATTTAATCGCTTTGTATTTGTAAAATATTTGTTGTAAATCTCTCCAGAAGTAAGTAATTTTTTATCAAATTTATGTATATGCTGAAATCCATATACTATGGGAGAGAAGAGTATCGCCTATAACACCCTTCACTAACATAGGATTCGACTCTGCTTATAGCGAGTTAGCTTGTACGCCTGCATTATCGAAATTTTCTCGCTTATCTATATATTACTTTTGTATCGGACCTATATATTATTAACGTAGGCGAGTTAAGCATACATAGGCCTAATATGACTATAGTTTATTGAGTTGAGATATCTTGACTTTTTTCTTATCTTTAAACCTTTTTTTGTCCGACAGCTGAAAGTGAAAGGTAGTGTAAATATATATAATTATAGTCACTTTTCTATTTAGTTATCACTCTAGGGATTTCCAACCTTTTCTTTTGATTACATTTCGATTTTAAATCGCATTTTACCGATTATTATGAAGGGTGTATTGTTCTGTAAAGATAGTAGATTTAGGTTACGTTTCTCCTCGGCTACAAATCATCAAGATCATAAAGTCGAAGCCAGGGGGGTCAGGTTTTTTTTTTAAGAATAATTCGCTCAAATGAAGCAATCCGTCTTAACCACTTAACCAACAGCGTCTCAGCTGTTTAAGCAAATACTAAAAATGTTTACGCCTACCTTACGTGTAGTTCTAGGTCAGTTTGTCAGTGAAATTGTGAGACATGTTTTCGACAATGCCTTCAAGATATTTGCCAGATTTACAGCCAGGAGAAAGCTTGGAAACGTTTATAGACGGCCACCTTCGACCACCGAGACAATTTAAGGAAGCTATGTTAAAATCAGTCGATACAGTTGTGAAATATCTTCATCAACTCTCCACAAAATACAGACATTATAATATTAAAGAGATTGTCAAGGTAGGTTTAACGGGAATTCCCCACCTTCTCAATGTCAAGCTATTGCCAACCTCGTCCTGTCTGCAATAGCAACCTTCACTTCTCTAACATAGAATGCAGCTTTGATTGACTGAAAGTTTTCGCTCGTGTACAATCGAAACAAATCGATTAAAGTTAAACAAAAAAGCGGGCCATCGCATTCAAGGTTTAACAAGGCCTAATGCCGAAAGTTGTTTACGTTGTTTATTCATTTTTCTATTCAGACTTTTTGCTTTGGTGGTTTATTTATTTAATTTTTTTTTTCGAGTGCGGAACAGTAGTTTATTTATTTATGTATCAATTTCACAGAGTGGATCACTTGGGAAAGGAACTAGTTACGGTGAAACTGCTGATGTTGATCTGGTGGTATTTTTCAATGGGTATAAAACCATGAACAGTTTTCTACAAGATAAACCTAACATAATCCGAGATATCAAATGGTATATGTGCAATTCAGATCCCGATTCTTGGAGATTTTTTGGATGGTTAAGACCTAGGTTGGACAATTTTTTTTTCATTTCAAAAATATAGTTCTATGTTGGCCGCAGAAGAGTACTATTCCATTTTCTGAAGAAACTGGATAATCATCATACTGTCGGTAACTCCTGTACAGAGAAAGTCCAAAAAAGCAAAATATCAAAGATACAAAGGAATATTGTCTTTCAACAACCGTACAATTTTGTAAATATTTTGCAGTTATCGTCCAAAATGGATAGATAGCATCCGTGTTGTAAGAACTACAGATTACCATGTAGAGTTTGAAGCTACGATAAATTTCAATGGGAAATTGGTTACTGTCCATCTTGATATCTTACCAACGATAGACATCATAGATATGCATAGTATGTATGTATACATCTTCACATTATCAAGCTATGACAAACTTCGTCTAATACCTTGACTGCAATAGCCACTAATCGTGTAATATGGAAGTTTGTGAATGCAGAGATTTAATTGGATTGCATGCCAATCAGAGGTCTCGACAGAGAGTCTGTAAACACTGAGCCATAACGTCGAACGCTATGATCGTTGTATTCGCTGGCGTACAATCCAATCCAATCAAATCAAATCGATTCATTCACACTAGAATAGTGGCTATTGCAGTCAAGGTATAAGCCGAAGTGAGAGTAGTGATAGTAACACGAAACTCTAGGCGTGTATTATGATATTACACTCTTCTGTAATTGTATGTGCTACATTGCTTTGTTATCAACACGTTATTTTGTCGACTGTGTACGACGTTTATCACATCTATGCGTTGCTTTCAAACCACCCTTCGCCACTCCCCATATGTTTGTTATTAATTTTGATTGGTGGACAATTAACTTCTCGACCAATAAGAATCCTTCAAACAAATTATTGAAAAAGTTCGCAAAACCAGACGAAACATTCTTTGAATTTTTGTGTGTGAACATATGTTATAAACTTTTTGTCAAGTTTCACATCGATCGATTGACAAGAAGAAGTTTGTACAGAAAGTGAGACAGTTCCCAATAATTCAAGGGAGGCCGTCATTTTCAATCAAATTCCTCGTACTCCAAATGTTGCCAGATTACTGATTGGATAATTCATAAAGAGAAGCAAGGTTAATATTCCCAAAGACGAGAATATGGGGTTGTGAAAGCAACAGGTAGATTTGAAAAACGTCGTACAACATTTCTTCAGGAACATGAGTTATTACAGAAGTGAGTACTACAATACATGTATACGGCATGCGCCTTGTGCTCATTTCTCTGTTGTTTAACTGTAGATGGGGTCAACTCAGTAAACAAGGAAATAGAAAGCCAACCTCCAAATATTCGAGGACATTACTCCGTGTGCTTTTGTAAACGCCAAAAACTTCTGTATGATGGCGGAATGGCGAAAGTTAAGGATCTTATACGGTTGTTGAAATATTGGAAGAAGGTAAGTAGTGCCATCTTCATAAAATCACAGCCAATGCGAATTTGTTTTAAGTCACATGCATAGCTGGATTCTGTTTTAAAACAACGCATATTGGAATGCAAAGCGACAGAAATGTCAAAAGAATTGTGAAAAGTATTGTTGCCCATGTCATTTCTTGCTGGGACAAAAGAAGACGGCCAGAACATGTCAACTTAAGCAGTTGGCATCTATCAGGGGCAAAACTTTTTAACTCAAAAAGACCACCACTTGTGGATCCCGTTTCTCATAAAGACTTAAGAATTTTTCTGAAATTTATGATGAGAGATTGAGAAATACCATACATACCACAAAAAATGGTTGTAAGTTTTGTTTTGTTTCCGTGTGTGTGAAACGGTACCCAGATCTGTAGTGTTTATATACGAGATTTGAGTTATATCTAGATTCTTGAAGAACCTGGGGATTGATATTACCCCTGTTTGCCAATTTGTTGTAATTTCAGAAAAATAGACTTAACTTAAAGTCGTATGCTTGTGAGGTTTTGGCTTTATGGGTTTATAGAAATCGTTTAAATGAGAATAAATCTTTCAAAATGGTTACTGGATTTACAGAAGCTTTGGAAATTTTGGCCTCTAATCAATCAGATGAGATTGTACCATCATACACAGGCATGTAAGTAACAAGCAAACAAACAAGATACTTGTTCAAAATCTTGACGGTTATATGCAGGCTTTTGAACTAAGCACCGTGTTTTGTTTTGATTATTTCTACCAATTAAACTTTTTGTATTAAGTATTGCTACTATTCTTTTTTTATATGACTTGAAGAAAGAGTGAATATTTAGATTGTTTCCACGATCCGACCAACCCATATTCTCCTACCATTACTGACTGGGGGTTTCAAGAAATAATCGACTGTGCTGATAGAACTCTAAGATCTGTGGATAATATCGATGAGGGAGAACAGGCAATGGTAGGTCAAACTATTACCTTTTGTAATCGTTCTTATCAGGGCTTGGTTTGGCCATGTTTGCTAGCTGTCTCCAGCTGTTCAAGATATAGGTAGCATTAGAAGTTCAAGACATTTAATTCAAATGGCTTAGTTTTTTTCCGTTCAGTTGCTACATCTGCATTGGAGGGGGCGGAATGTTATGAAATAAAATGAACCTCCAGCTCGAACGCTGATTTTCTGTGAGCAAGTATGCCTATTGACCGAGATATCTGGCTTAATGCCAAGGATTTCCAGAACAAATACAGTTTAAGAATTTAAATGTTAAATCACTAGAAAAAGGGACTTCTATTGAGGTTTCAAAATCACAGTTTTGTGTTTATATCTATAGTGTATGGTAATGTAAGATGAACTATATTGGTGTTGAGGACGTTCCAGAACTATGTTGGCATTACATATCAGTCAGAACTATATTGATGTTAATTCTTCACAAGAACCATATTGGCGTTACATATCAGTCAGAACTATATTGATGTTAATTCTTCACAAGAACCATATTGGCGTTACATATCAGTCAGAACTATATTGGTATTATTTCATCACAAGAACTATGTTAACGTTACATATCAGTCAGAACTATATTGGTGTTACTTCAACACAAGAACTATATCGGTGGTATTTCTTCACAAAAACTATGTTGGATGTTAAATATCCTCCAGAACTATGTCGGTGATATTTCATCACAAGAACTATATTGGTGTTATATCAAAAGAACTATGTTGGCATTACATGTCAGTCACAACTATATTGATGTTAAATATCCTCCAGAGCTATATCGGTGCTAATGCTAAACCAGAACTTTATTGGTATTTATTAGATCAATTTATGCTCCTTCAGAACTCTGTTACATATCATCTTGTATTATGTGTTTATGTTCCTAGATTTATATTTTTGTTAATGCTATTACAGAACTATGTTTGAAATGTTGCAAAAATTAAAGAAAGGAGTAGGTTATCTATAATAATGGTCTTATTTATTTAATGTTCTATTTACTTCTGAATGTCATTTAGTCAAGTGCTTCTCCAGAATTGTCAAGCACAGGGATATGGTTGGGCTAAGGTTACAATCAAAAAAGCATGTGACAGACATAATTTATTAAGAATAAATTTAGTACAGTTGCAATTTAGTCAAACCATGATCAAATTGTCATTGTCTGTCTCGGTGAATGTGATCCCTGACCACTACTTTATGCACAACAATAAATACATAATATCTATTTCTATAGTTCTATTTACATTTCTATTTAGAAAACTTGTTATATAAATTACTTCCCTCATACATACAAGTAGTACTATTTCATATCACATACCATAAACCATAAAAAAGCTGTTTCTGTATTTTAGATTTACAATATCGAAACATTGCATGAAAATGGTTTTGGCTAGTCAATTCATCTGAAAATAAATAGCTTGCCAGGCATGGTAACTATAGAGGGGGATCGTTGCCAAAAGTATTCACAAAGTCAAACTTGAAAACAAGGCCTCGACTTTACGAAGTCATATTTCAACATTACACAATTACAAAATAAACCTTCCTAAAATCAAAAAGTCAATGTACTTATTACAAAGTAGAGATATTGATAGTTTAATTTTCAAACTTTATTTCACATCAGACACCATTCAAACTTTCCTTTACGAAAATTAATTCTTAACTTTGCATTATTGACATTATCAACTATGTCTTCTTTGCATTCGTGAAAGATGTAAGTTCGACCACTGTATTCTTGAGAGTTGTAAAGTCAACTTCTGCATTCTTGAACGTTTACCATATAAGGTTACGTGGCCTGCTTCATTTACATTATCCGGAAATATAACTCAATAATTGCTCCTTGTCAAAGGGATTTAACTCTAAATAAGCCTCAAAACCGGATGTTCAAATGCGGCATTGGTCAATTACCGATTACACATTACTTCAGTGGGCCGCCAATTTTTGTGGCCAATGAATACATTCATTTTTTGGATTGATTGTAATTGTTGTAATTAAATCAAAAAACGAAAAATTTGTAATTCATTTCTTATTCTAATGAAACCTCTAAAAGGTCGTGTAATGAATAGAATCATTACATAGTTATCAACATTTCTTTAGCCAGTGACGGATATTCAATATGGATATTGAAAAATGGCCAATTTTTTCCAATGGTCTCCTTTGGAATTATGAATGCAATTGTTGGTGCCATTGAGGTCCTGAGATGCCAATCTAACATATTAAGGTGTACAATGGGGAGAAATGCTTTTTATTTCTATAATCGCCCTATATAATGTTAGAATTTTAGGGATACTCACAGGTCTGAAAGCACTATGTGATTGAGTTTGTGCCAATTCCATCCAAAAATCTGCCCCACCCCCATTACTATGGACTGGGCTTTGTCTTTGACTGGCCAGTCCGCCATATTTGATATTCGTCAATGACTATATTTTAGCGATTATAGGAATAAAAAGCATTTCTCCCCATTGTACACCTTAACATGTTAGATTGGCATCTCAGGACCTCAATGGCACCAACAATTGCATTCATAATTCCAAAGGAGACCATTGGAAAAAATTTGCCATTTTTCAATATCCATATTGAATATCCGTCACTGGCTAAAGAAATGTTGATAACTATGTAATGATTCTATTCATTACACGACCTTTTACAGGTTTCATTTGAATAAGAAATGAATTAAAAAATTTTCGTTTTTTGATTTAATTACAACAACTACAATACAAGTAATGACGAAGTGTCAATGCTGCATTTGAACATCCGGTTTTGAGGCTTATTTAGAGTTAAATCTCTTTGACAAGGAGCAATTATTGATTTATATATCCGTTAGTTTCCGTGAATTTCCGGATAATGTAAATGAAGTAGGTCACGTAACCTTATATGGTAAACGTTCAAGAATGCAGAAGTTGACTTTACAACTCTCAAGAATACAGTGGTCGAACTTACATCTTTCACGAATGCAAAGAAGACATAGTTGATAATGTCAATAATGCAAAGTTAAGAATTAATTTTCGTAAAGGAAAGTTTGAATGGTGTCTGATGTGAATCTTTGTAATAAGTACATTGACTTTTTGACTTTAGGAAGGTTTATTTTGTAATTGTGTAATGTTGAAATATGACTTTGTAAAGTCGAGGCCTTGTTTTCAAGTTTGACTTTGTAAATACTTCTGGCAACAATCCCCATCTATAGGTAACATGATAACATACGATCACCATAACACGATCCAAATCTCACAAATATCAAACTTTTCCAAGATATTGATATACATTTGCATGTAAAAGTTTAGGTATCAATCTATAGCTCTTTTTGATAGTCCATATCAACCATGCCTAGTCAATATCAACCATGCCTAGTCAATATCAACCATGCCTAGTCAATATCAACCATGCCTAATTATATCTCCAAAATAAGCTGTAATATATACTATTTACAATGATCCAAATATTGTAGATTTGGACCTCCATGGTAACATGACACCTTCACTATAAACTGGGACTTCTGATGTCAAGTAAACTGGGACTTCTGATGTCAAGTAAAGTGGGACCTCAGTCAAGTAAAATGGAACCTTAATTTTCATGTAAAATGGAGCCTTTACTTACAAGTGAAATGGAACTTCCATTTTAAAAGTGAATCTCCGTTTTAAAGTAAAAAAGAACTGCTACAGTAAAGTAAAATAAACTCTGAATTGTCAAGTACTTGTAAATGGGATCCCAGTCATCAAAATTGGAACCTTCATTATCAAGTAAATTGGAACCTACATAATAAAATACTCTCATTTTTAGAGATAAATCACATGGTGTAATTAGCCACAAATTAGACTATGGTATTTGAAATATATATTTACTATTCACATCTGAGTTTTGTGCACACAATTACTTTCACTTCATTATAAGATTATAACAATTAAAATATTTCTTAATATTTCAATATCATAAGATTATTTAAATTAAAATCATTTCCTAGAAGTATGTCATTTTGTAAGACCGTTGCAAAATTTTCAATGTCACATAATGAAGTGTGTAGTACTGATGTTTATACTTTGATTATTATTTTCATAACTTAATTGTTATTTTCATAACTTAATTGATGTTTTCATAACTTAATTGTTATTTTCATAGCATATTTCTTGTTATCTTAGCATAATTGTTATGTTATTTGGAAACAAATTGTTATTTTCATAGTCTATTTCTTATTTTCTTAATAGCATAATTGTTACATCAAAACATAAATGCTATTTTCAGAATATAATGGCTACTATCAATAACATTATTCTTATTTTTCAGTGCAGTTACTATATTCACATGAAATATAAAATATTGCACTGTTATAATAGGGAGTACATATCTCAATTTCTTCAACTCATATAATTTTCTCTAAACTATAGTAGAGAACCTTTGTGTTTATTACATATATCAAAATTATATTCCTTAATTTTTCATACAGTCTATTCTAAATGACACAGATAAAAGTTTAGCACTATCAAACCTTTAAATACATAAAGTCAAATTTGTTAGGAAAAATTCACAATTAGACTTTTCCTATAGTCCATAATCATACAATAACTTAATCACTGTTGAAATCTTTGTGATTATTTCCTACTATTCTACAAAACAATACACATGATGTGACTTTTGTGAGTAGTTCCCAGATATTTTTGAAAGTGTTATGTGTTTTCTATTTCTACTTGCACTGTGTGACTCTAATGATATTCAGACATCTTGTGAATAATTTTAGTGTATTGAGGTTTTTTAAGATTCGAGAAGGACATGCCAGCGACACACTTGATCTCCGCCTTTACTTTCTCTCATATCACTCCAATGTCCTTGTTCCTCTTCACCACTACTGTTCATACCTGGATAATGATGATAATAATCATGATAATGTAGAGGATAATGATGATGATAATTTTCATAATGATGACAGAGATAATAATAGAGTACACAAGGTTAGAGATAATGATGATGATTAACATATTATTGATGATAGAGGTAATGATGATGATGATAAAGAACACAATGACCATGAAGATGATAGAGATAATGATGATGGTAGAGAACATAATGAAAAATGATAATGTTGAATGTGGTGATAATGGTAGAGATAATAATGACCTTGAAGATGATATAGATTATGATGATGGAGATGGTGATGATGAAGATAATGGTGATGATGACAGAGATATTGATGATGATAAACTAATTAATGATGATATTACAGCAATGATGATAGAGATAATGATGATGATAATAAAAATAATAAAGATGATGATGATCATAATAATAATAATAATAAAGATTTTTATCAAATCTAAAATGTTAAATCCCCAAAATAGATAATAAGTAAACCAGGAATTTAAGACAATAACTAGAAAAATGTATCACTGTTTTGAAACTAAACAAATGTCCAATTTAAATAGTCAAATTTCGTTTGTGAGCTGTGAATACTCTTACTGACGGCCTCAGCTAAAAAAGTCCTGTTTCTGGGACTAATGTATGATTGATGAAATAAATGGTGCACCAGTCCCTTTAATAAAAAAAAAAAAATGGAAATATGAAATTACCTAGAGAAAACCAGCCTATCATTTCTTTCTTTTTCATATTCTTTTTATTATAAACTGACACCATCAAGGTGACTTCTGGTAGTTGAAACTGGGCAACTTGAAACATAAACGTTTCTTTGAATAACGGATTTGGTTGTCCTCGTCTTACTGATGTTTTACATCTTTGTAATTCCTGACCACTTGGTGACATTAAAGTTAATTTCACATACGTATCTGAAATAAATATACCAAATTATGTGAACTGAAAAATGTCTTGTATTGGTGTAAAACAAATAGCACTTTTAAAAATTATAAAATCTCCTTATCTTGCTGCTAACATTGAACCAGATCGTAGGGCATTACTAACAATCTCTTAAAATTTCAGTTATTATTGATGAAATCATATATTACTAAAAGTAAATAAAAGTCTGTACAAGCAAGACAATTCTGTTAATCAAACTTTCCAAAGCATGGCAAAATCGAGAGTAAAAGTTGTATAGTAGTGGACTCCTCCAAAGCGAAGTGCCATCAGGTGTTTCGAAAAGAGTAAAGCTGCGATTACATATGTGGTATTGATACAGAAAACAAATGAGATGTTATGCTGTTACGCAGCATGTAGAAAATGTCCTCACCTGGTGCTCTATTCATAGCCATATTTCTAAAGTTACTGCCCTTGATCACTTCTACTGCCAATCTTCCAGTGGTTCCATTATATCCCAGACCTAATAACAACTCTGGCATTCCGCCATGTTGTAACGACTGTGTAGAAGAGGCGCTGTCACTTTTCGATAAACTAGCAACATCAAACCCTGAATCACCCTAGAAACAAATAAACAAATCTCAATTCAATCCTTTAGCCCAGCTGAATATAAGATTATAACTGATTATCAGCCTTAATCTACATCAGAAAGAAAACTCAAACAAACAAATCTCATAAAGAAACAAGATAATGTATTCAATTCAATTATTCTGAATTTGTATAGAAATTAGATTGGTCCAAGAATAAAACTCAGAGAACTTCTCATCTATATTTGAAAAGATTTATGTAAACTTACACTTAAATTACTCCTTGGTTCTAAAACAACAGTATGTGTTTGTTCTTCATCTAAATTTAATGAAGCAAATCCCACGATACTTTCTCCAATCATTCGTTCTCGTCTCATTCTCTCAACTCCGTACAGACGGAATCGTACTCCCATACTCTGTACATTGTCTGAAAGAGACCACAGCCATATATATATATAAATATATCCTATAAAATTGTCATTCTATGTGACAAGACCTTTCATTGGTCTATTATTTTAGTAATATAAATGTCATGATGTAGTCATTGGATATTCTACAAGAAACAGGTAAACATTATATCTATATGACCATGTTTTCATAATGTGACTTAACAGAATTCCTAGTTAACCAAAGGGACCCAACATGTTAGCAACTTCCACCAAAAAGAAGCTAAAACAACCCCTTGGTTACTTTGAACAAATAGTGGTTGTGGATTCTAATCATTATGTCATTCCCTGCATGTCAATCTTAATAAGTCATAATTTCAAGGCGACCAAGGCCTAAATGGTTACAGATAATCTGGGAAAGGTCAATACCAAGAGGTTTGACCAAGAATTAATTAATAGACAAGAATTGTTGAATGACTGTTCAGATGGAAAAAAGGCTTCGAGATATATGAATGTATGAAGCTTACCTGGGAAAATTTTATTAAACACAATATCTTCATTAAACACAGGGTTATCTCCTGTTTTCACTTTTGTTTTGTGTTTTTGACGTTTAGTGGGTAACAACATAGCTCTAACTTGTACATGACTTGCACCACCACGATCTTTTGCAGGAATTTCTAGAGCTTGCAGGATTTTAATGTGAATCTTTCCTCGTTTGGCTTCATAACGGAATGTAACTTCTAAATTACCACATTTTGATATCAATGGTGGTTCATTTTGTAGATCACTGACATCAAACAGATGCTCCTGAAACAACCAAATGATCACCATTTCAGTTTAGGTACAAGCAGATACAAAATAGGCATTATCGCTCTGCTCATGCTTTGGCTAATGAGTGGAGAATAAACACCATGCAGTGTGCAATAAGGGAAATTTTACTCTAAGGTATATTGATCATACATTGCCTATATTACACAAGACCACATCTGAACGACTAGACACAATTTCCTTGTCAGACTCGCCAACCTGCAACAGAACAGAAGTTAAGCAGCAGATTTAGCTGAGAATGATGCCTGAATCCACTAAAAATAAGTGACATACATAACATATCACCAATTGTATCACAATTAAACTTAACAAACAACTCAACAAATACCATCAATAGAACAATGAAACAGTAGAAATCTTTGCTTACTCTATATGCTATCCCAAACATTATCCTGATCTTAATCCCTGTTCACTAGAATGAGCTTTTAAACTACTGTTATTGTTGTAAAGAGAGAGAATGTACCAGCCTTAAATCCTTATTAAATATATATATAACTGTACTGAAATTACAGGATCTGCAGACTTTGTAGGGAAAAACAGATTTGTGCAAATACATAAGTCTTCCTGATACACATACAAAGTTAAGATAACCTCATTTAAATCCCTATAAATATTTGATAATAATCACACCAATAATGATTCCAGTAATTTTCCATTCTTACAAATGAGATTCCTGACACAGATCAGAGAAATGAATTAGGTAAATGTGAGGTTCTATAGCACAGTCGGTTAGAACATTGGTTCTTCTATGACGTCACTTGGTACTAATCAGCATTTGCATGTGAAAGTCCAATAACCTCGAATAAGTCATATTCACTCATAATATCAGTCGACCCATTTTTAATTGGGTACAGATAATCCAGGAAAGATGCTGGCCAAGAACAGCTGGTAGAAAGGATCCTTAACTGTGAACCGTTAACTGTTATCCTTGTAAAATATTATTGTTTCTTTCTTTCTTATTTCAAATCATACAGGTTTCACATATCTCAAATAGCATGCAACCAAAACACTATCCAAAAGATTTCAGACTTAACTTCAGCCGACCTTAAGGATGTTAAAACATGAAACTGTTAGGGAGTTCTGGTGACACACCAAAATATTGATTACAAAGCAATTGTTACAAGTCATATCTGTAACCTGTAAATCTGTACAAGACTAATGACAGAGATAAATTTTGTCAACAGATCAAGATGTCACAATAACAGAAAAGCTGTTAAAAATCCATTATGAATGACATGTTTGATGCAGTGAAAACATCTGCCTAGAAAATGTTTCAGACACATTAGCGACTTCTTTCAAAAGTTAATGGCAATAATTTGTAATCCTCTAGGGCTGATATTCAAAATGTTACTTGTGACCCTGTTTTATGGCTTAACTAAATAAATAAATAAGTCCTGGTGCCAAAAATATACCCTATTTGAATAGTTTGTAAGAAAACTTGATAATTTGGACATTCATAAGGTCATCTAAAAAATATTTCCAACTTCTGCTGAACCATTCCTTTTTTAATTGTTCTGATTTAGCAAAAATAAGAGCTTCCAAGGTACAACAACCACTAAAAAATATACAGTATCTCTTATTCTTTATTATCAATTTTATAAAAATTTTCAAATGATGGACAAATGCTAGTTTAAGAGAGAAAGTCAGTCTGACATTACTAAGACGAAAAAAGTTACTTTAAAGATTAATGAAGGAAGAAAACATTATCTAATCATGTATGATGTGCTAAGATATTTTGACAACATTAAAACTAAAAGATTTATTTATAGCTCGAAATAGGAAGACACTGTCAGAGCTGTTTCATTGATGGACAGATCATTCTCATACATGTATAATCTACTGATGTTGTAAGGTTTCTTGCTTGTTGTCCACTGCTCTACCAAAGGAATGCCCAATTCTACTGATTTTTTTTTTTTCCTAACCAAATTTACACGTGACCTACCGTTTTCCGAATTCTCTACGATAAATCAACAAAATATCTTGTATTTTGATTGCTGATAACAAGTGTTAATCTCATCACGTAATAATATTATTGTTGTCTGATTAATTAATCCCCCAATTAAAATTAATTGTTAATTTGATCTATTTTCATCCAATAATGTGTATTTTAAACCCATGTGACACACTTTTTATTACAACATCCAGTAGATTCTACTTAATTTTGAACATAGAAAACTTCCATTGATCCAAGTCCAATCTCTGTGGATTTGAGATCATTATATATAGATTTATTGTTTTAGGATATATAAATTAGAATAACCCCATCAAAACAATGGTCCTCAAATAAAAGTGGTGCGTATTATATTCACAATGATATGGTATCTAAATTCCTTAACCTTTAACTCTAAATCTTCATGTTGTGAAGTATGCCAAGGATTATATGAGACTATGCTCTCATCACATCAATATTTACTCTGAGAATGTATTTTCAATGCAAGGAAATTACTTGTCAGACTGTTCTCTGATAACTAACAACATCTTCATGCTGAATATCAAATATCAAAGTAAAAGATTGGAGACTTTTGGCATTGCTTTCTTTAAGTAGGTCATCATCTCTTAACAGCATGTGAATATGTGTTTTCAATGAACAGAAATAACTTGTCAGGCTTGGTGTTCTCTTAACTAAATATCAAAGTGAAAGTAAAGATTCAAAATTTCAGGCATAGGGAGCGACAATAACTGTTGAGACTTCTGGCATTTCCTTCTTTAAGTAGGTCATCATCTCTTAACAACTCCACGGAATCTAATCAACTCGGCTATAAACGGAATAGAAATTGTGCCATCTACTGTAAATCTGTGAAGAGGATAATTAAATTCTGAACAATCTGACCAATTTTCAGGCCATTTTCAGCTCAAAATAGAAAAATTTTCAGTTGATTATTAGATGAAACCTAGTCTCATTATCAGTTTTTCTGTCAAAAAGACATTCTAACTATAATGAGAAAGATAATGACCAGCTAGGGAACAGTTTTAGCAGTATGACAAGATTATAGATAATCGCAACCAAAAATAAATCAAGTCAGTATAATTTGAGGTTAAAACGTTTCACTGAAGCCAAAAAAGATAAAATTGAGACCAAAATTAAATCAAGCCAGTCTAAATTGAGGGCTAAAATATTCAACTGGTATTTTAGGATCAAAACTGCCCTGGTCTGACAAAGATTTGATTCATAGATTATTAGAGGACTTCATATTAAGAAGATATATGGATAAAGTGATCCATCTATCTATTGATAAGGGGGGGATCTGTTACCTTTCAAGGCATGGATATATTGGGGACCAACTGGCAACAGTCAATGAAGATATTATTGAGAACTTGTAATAGGTTTTCAACACACCACAATCAAATCAACAAAAGCCAGCAAACTTTGTAAATTTGTTTATATGCTTGACAAGACAAGAGCCATTGATTTCCTCCTACAAGAAACTAACTGCCATTGGGTGTCTGGTTAATCCAATATTAAGTCTGGTAGATAATGACTATTGACGTCAATGTTACTTTAAGTAAATTGACACAAAACTTAAAGACAGTAATAAAGTAAAGAAAGGAGAGATGAAATGAATGATATTTGAACATTTCAAGAAGGAAGTTTGCTTTCTACAAGATTCAATCATTCAACAGAAGATTCCTGGGAGCTGTTTAAAGGGAAACTGTCTGACGTCAGAGATCCAAAATATTTATCGTCAAAATAATCGATGTAACCTAGCTCCTATAAGTGTATCAAGGACATTCTCAGGCTTCAGTCGTGAGCTTATAGTCCAAACAAACTCAAAATCAAACTTCCAACCCAACTTCAAATATCAAATCCAATTAACAGTACTTCAAGATTCCTACAGAAATACTGCTTTATATGAGCAAAACACATCATATAACAATTCCTCTTTCTCTCCACCATCCTGTTATAACTGATACTCTATATTTCAATAACAACTTTTGAACTGGATTTATAAGGGTTAGCCAATATCTTGCCTTATTTATGATTTTCAACCACTTGTTACCCATATCCTTATTCAAAGTTACCAATCAGTCACCTTGTTACAAATTGTGTATATAACACAAATTAGAATCACTTGATATAATTGGTTAATTAGTAAAGTCTCAACTAATCAGATGTGGAGACAAATATATTGATCTAGTGCATCAAGGGTTAGATGTTAACTGACTCTCAACCTTAGGTGGATCAAGATGAATGTTTAAGATTGCAAACGAGACAGGAATTCATGGTAAGGTTGTAAATTAAATATAAAGTGGACCAATGTCTCTATCAGTAATCTACTCCACAGAGAAGCCTAAGAATGAATTATCAACCCCGCCATAAATTCTGGTAAACCAACAGAACTGCCATAAGGAATTGCCCGTAAAAGGATTAATGGATTGTTTTGTTCTACTATATTTCTTTTAAGAAAATAAAACAGAACAGATGGGGTAGTAAGTAGATAAACTTTAAGATTAATATTGCTTCAGATGTAACAGACAAATATAAGTAGAATGACAATATAATACCAATTTTAGGAAATTCAAATTTCTGATGATTTTTGAGTTTAATTCACTATTTAAATATCTAAGGGGTAAACATGAGCTAAATTTCAATGTAATAGACACAGACGTTACTTTCCAGCACTGAAATAAAACCTTTGCAGTTGAGAAGATAACTTACATCATTAGAGAGACGTTCTGTGGACAGTGAAGGGTTACTGGATGTAAAAGATTGACTGGGTGTTCTTTCTCCCTCGTAACCTCTGTTTTCAAATACTGGTTTACTGACAGCTGTGGCACCAGCTTTATCAGCTGGTACTAGAGCTGCTGTTTCCTCTACTGTAGGAGATTGGTGAGCATCTTCAACTCCACCTTCAGCTAGATTATCTTCTTCATCTGCTTCAACACCTTCTCCATCACTGACCTCTAGTTTATCTTTCTCAAGGTCATCTGACAGACACTGACCTTCTTCTGCAAGAGAAGCAGCAGTTTTTCCTGAAAAATATACAATAATCAAATATCAACCAAAAAAATCATGATTTTGGAAAAAATAAGGATCATGATTTTGGAAAAGGAAAAGAATCACCATCCTTAAACATGAAAGATATGATTTTGGAAATTGTGATTTTCACCTTATAACTGCTGAATCTACTCCAAAAATGAGTCGAACTGAGCATAAATTCCTTTAGTGGCATATTCATTTTATGTTGTTAAATTGGAAAACAAAAAAAAACATAGCATTGGACAGGAAAACACCCATTGACCCCAAACTAACTGTGAAGAATGCATCTTTCTATTTTACTAACCTAAATCTTTCCACCAAACTTCTAATTTATTCAAAAACATTTTGTTTTTAGTTTGTGTTATCAAAGTTTTTGGTCTGTTGCTTTCATTTTACAAAATTACAAGCAAGCTCATATTCATTACTACATAATCATTGACTATAACTAACTAAGCTGATAGATTAGGTAGGATAAACCTTCTGGACATTTGTTTTATACCAACATTTCAGATGCTTGATTCTGAATAACATTTGATCCTGAATAACAACTGTTCCAGAATAACTCTTGATCTTCAAAAATGGCTAAATTGAATTGTGTCTAATCCTGAATATGACGTGGTTCTGAAAAGCACCTAATCCTGAATAACACTTAATCCTGAATAGCGCCTTATCCTGAATATCACCTAAATGTGAATAGCACAAGATCCATAATAACACAGTTCAAGAATAGCACCTGTTCCTAAATATACTTAATCCTGAATAGCACCTTAACTGAAATGAACCTGATCTTGCATAGCAAAGGTGCTTGATCCTTTCAACACCTCCTTTTGAACACCTGATCCAGATCTTCTTAAAGAATAAAACCATCAACAAGACAAAATGATTAAGAAATGTGCTATGTTTATTTTCCAATCAATATGCATCTATAGTTTCGTATAATATATGAACAATGCAATCAACCAGGGAGAACTGAACCCAACTGATTCATGTTTAATTCATCTTCTGTTATTGTTCAAATCTTAGATATTGATTTTAATAATGACTAACATGAGCTTACTGTCAATTTTTATAATTTCTCAAATTAATATTTAGATTAATATTTCAAAAGTGATATGCTTTAACATTATGTTCAAATCTGTAAATTGTCACTACGATTCACTATTGTAGATTGTTTTGAATCAAGCTCTATGAGCAGACATAACGGTAGATCTTTCAATAGATGATCAAATTTAATCTTCAATGTTACAAAGAGTCAAAGTCTAGAAGCACCACTTTCACACTCACTGCAGGCAGTAACCACTCTATGCTAAACTTTCCCAGCTGTGACTTAGTGTTCCAGCACAACACAAATGTGTATCATGAAACTTGAAGCTCAAATGATATGATCTGGCTACAAGCAAGTTAAATCCCCTATTTTAGTATCGCTGTAACACATTTAGAGTACCCGTATATAAAATTTGATTCTGACAATGTACTAAAATGTTTCATCAATAAAGACACATTGAGAGTATATGAGCCAATTTAGACAATATACTATACAAGGTTCAACTAATTCCCAATCCTGATAATTATACAATACTCACCAATTATAATATTAATATTAATAATTATAATGACCTTTTCACATTTCATACTGGTTTAAAGGGACACTTTTGAAATTTTACACCTAATAAGCCGTAAAGAACACTGGTAATTGAATGTGAAAGACAGAAACATAGTGAAATAGCTACTAGGGACTATATGGGTAGAATTTGGGGAACCCAAGAGGTTTGGTCTACAACCAGATGGTTTGAAAGATCATTGAAACCCAAGTGGTAAAATATGGATGTTGCTTGAGTATCAATATTTGTAAAATTAAACAGAACAATTTAAGTAATGAAAAAAAAAATCCATACATTGTCCCTTTAAATATGCATATGCAAATAGGTTTCATTACCAGTCATGACCAGAAAATTACAACATCGCCATGCATAAATTGACAATATAGATCTAAACAATTAGTTAGTAGGTCACTAGATCACAAGTTAATTAATGTAACTTTGGACAAATGGCATTTAATCTCAGACTGAGGTACTGATCAACTTGCTTTTTACTACAGTAATATTAAGTCAATTCAACACCCTGTTCACCCTGACAATGCAACTTTAATATACTATGATGATTTAGACCAGGGGTTTTCAACCTTGGATTGTGAAATGTTTAGGGTGTAATGAGGTGCTTTTGCAGAGAAAACTTAAAGAGAAAATTACAAAATAGTAATAGACTTTACACTCTCAAGGAGTCGATTATCTTTTCCAGTTGACTTTTTGCAGATATTACACCATTATTGGTAAAATCTGTACCCAAGAATGTTAATAACTGATACTGTAAATACATACGACATATAGCACACATTAAAAATATCTCAACACTCTCCATAATCTGACGTTGTTTTTACGGTCCCAGTGTATGTCGGATTACGCAGAGTTTACTGTAAATAACATCCCTTCAATCGTACTTACCATGTGTTGAGGTATCTGTAGCTATTGCTTGTTTTTTAATACTTTTAGAACTTTTAGCGCTATGTTTGGACAGGGCACTACGAACGCTGTTTGATTTCTGAATACCAGCTACTGTAGAATGGTAATGTTTTAGAACTTCGTCATCTGAATCACTGGATGAGGAGCTGTCATCACCTATCATATACGCTGTGCCTGAAATAGTCAATTGACAAATTCTTTAAAACATGGTAAGCTGAAATAAATACAAGGGCCAGTTTCACAACATTTTGAATACCATAGAATCAAGATTTAAGAAATGAACTATTCTGATTGGTTAATAGTTGGAAAGGCCTGAACACTACACCGTAAGATTACTTTTTTTTGTAAGAGTCACTACATTTAGTATTTAGATTAAATATAAGCATGTATGGTAAATTTCTATTAACAAACTTTTAACAGTGTCCTATTAACACTGTTATTGTACATATGGGATTTTCAGCAGCAAAAAATAACCTTTACATTTATGGAAAAAAATTATTGTTATAAGCCCAAGTCCCAATTAAAACCAGGCTAGAAATCCACCACCATATCAAATTTCGTTAAAAACAGCTCAGAGTTCAGTTTTGGCTAGCAATTACAATTTTCTAAATGTATCACAAAAATGAAAGAATTAGAGCCTAGCTTGGTTGATGTGTGTTTGATGTACAGATGGCCAAACTAAGTGTGGATGTATAAAAACACTCATGTATTTTTTGATAATAGAATGATAAAATGTCAAAGAGACTGGCTTGGTTGGTGTGCAATTGATGGACAGGAGATGATCTGACAATATATGGCCAAACTAAGTGTGGAAGTATAAAAACACTCATGTATTTCTTTATAAGAGAATGACAAAATGTTAAAGAGACTGTCTTAGTTGGTGTGTGTTTGATGTACAGGAAATGATCTGACAATATATGGCCAAACTAAGTGTGGAAGTATAAAAACACTCATGTATTTCTTTATAAGAGAATGATAAAATGTTAAAGAGACTGTCTTAGTTGGTGTGTGTTTGATGTACAGGAAATGATCTGACAATATATGGCCAAACTAAGTGTGGAAGTATAAAAACACTCATGTATTTCTTTATAAGAGAATGACAAAATGTTAAAGAGACTGTCTTAGTTGGTGTGTGTTTGATGTACAGGAAATGATCTGACAATATATGGCCAAACTAAGTGTGGAAGTATAAAAACACTCATGTATTTCTTTATAAGAGAATGACAAAATGTTAAAGAGACTGTCTTAGTTGGTGTGTGTTTGATGTACAGGAAATGATCTGACAATATATGGCCAAACTAAGTGGACGTATAAAAACACTCATGTATTTCTTTATAAGAGAATGACAAAATGTTAAAGAGACTGTCTTAGTTGGTGTGTGTTTGATGTACAGGAAATGATCTGACAATATATGGCCAAACTAAGTGTGGAAGTATAAAAACACTCATGTATTTTTTGATATGAGAATGATAAAATGTCAAAGAGACTGGCTTGGTTGGTGTGCAATTGATGGACAGGAAATGATCTGACAATATATGGCCAAACTAAGTGTGGAAGTATAAAAACACTCATGTATTTTTTGATATGAGAATGATAAAATGTCAAAGAGACTGGCTTGGTTGGTGTGCAATTGATGGACAGGAAATGATCCAACAATATATGGCCAAACTCAGTATGGGCGTATAAATACATTCATTGATTTTTTGATAAGAGAAATAACATGAAACATTTAATATCATATTGATAGAAGTTTATTTTTTATGATGATAGTGCAATGTTGCCTTTATCAACACTCTTCAACCTAATAACATAAAATTTCCATCAAATTATATTACTTTTCATATTTATTTCTGACATTATACATCCAACATAAAATAATACTGACTGATATTTCATTCCATAATTGGCAAAGAGTCAAACTTGGCTTATAGACCTTGGCTTAGAGGGTTGAACATAATTCTGAGAGTGGCTTGATCAGTCATGATTAGCTTAAAAAGCATGAATTTCAGAGTCAACTTTGTTTTAGAGTTTAACATGGTTATGAGTGAAACTTGGTCTTAAGGGTCAAATTTAGTTTTGAGAGTCAAGCTCAGATTCATATTTGGCTTTAAGAGTCATTTTTGGCTTTGAAAGTCACACTTGGCTTTGAGAGTCATACTTGGCTTTGAGAGTCACACTTGGCTTTGAGAGTAATACTTAGCTTTTAAGAGTCATATTTGGCTTTGAGATTGAACTTTGCCTTTGAGAGCCAAACTTTGCCATGTGAGTTTATGGTTAAGAATGAAACATGGCCTCAAGGGTCAAATCTAGTTCTGAGAATCAAGCTCAGTTTTCAGTCATACTTGGCTGACAACATGACTTTCCGCAAGGAACATTCAGCTTGGAAACAAGGAGGAAGGTTATTTATAGCATGTAAAATTTGCCAGAACGTGCCACGTAATTAAATTTTAAAATGTATTATTCAACCAGTGAAT